AGGAGGAGGAGGAGGAGGAGAGGAACCCATCGGGAATGGGAAGAGGATGATGGAGAGGGCAAAGGAGAGGAAAAGAAGGAGAGGACCCCCCAGCTCCCTACCCCACACACCCACACAGCACCCTACAACCCCGCCAAATAGAAAACTCATATATATCCCGAAAAGTAACAACTAAGGCGAGATAAGGGCATGAAGTGCATCCCGTGCGATTGCCCTCTCGAGGGAAAGTGCTCCCCGTAGGCGCGTAACAGCCAGGGCCCCCCCCCTTCCCCATCCCCCCCCCCCTCTCGGGGATGGATCAAAGGAAAGGGCATTTATCCCTTCTACTACCACAAAAACAACAACGTCCCTCCTCCATCGCATTCGCTTTTGGATAACTCCTCCAGTAGGATGGAGAGCCATGGGATTGGGAAGTCACGAGACGACGGAGACGACGGAGACGACGATTCGAACGGAGAAGCCCCTCACACACGCCGACAGGGTCGGCGGATTACAAAATACAGCGTGACGTTCCCACACCAAAAACCGATGGACGTCCTGCGGTCTTAGTGCCGTTTTTTTTGTGTGGAAGGTTCCTTGTGGATTGGCCTCCATTGTACATGTGCTGATGTGCGGTACTGGGGCGGGAGCCCCATTTTGAATCACATCCGTGCCCTTTCCCTTCGCCTGCCCACGATTCGAGACGAATGTGTGCGTCGCAGTTCGGGGGCCCGACTCTGCGGAGGAACCGCCCTCTATCGCGGAGGTCACTGCGGCATCTGAAGCCGCATGTGCGTGGCGCTAACGCGACAACCACCACATATTGAAGGCTATCTCGCCCCCTCTATGCCTGAAGGTGCTGCGAACTTGAAGACGGATGCGTGCGGTGCGAAGGCGAGAGCCACATTTTGAAGTCGCCCCACCCTCCACCCTTGAAGCGGTTGCGGACTTTCAGGCAGAATGTGCGCGGCGCAGGGGCGAAAAACACATTTGAAACAAATCAGACTAGCACTGTCGACGCTGCCGCAAACAGTTCAAACGAACATGCGCGGCGCTGGGACGAGAGCCCCATCTTGAAAACGGCCCACCGTGCATGCGCGGCGCGGAGGCGAGCGCCACGCTTTGGAAACAGCCCCCCCCCATCGGTGAAGCTGCTGCCGACTTTGATGAGAACGTGCGCAGCGCCAGGGCGAGAGTGGAATTTTGCACACGGCCCACCATGTTTGAAACTGCTGCACAGTTCTCTCGCTTCCGGGTCATCAGTGGTGCGGGGTATCAGGCGAGACGCCCGGCCCGCATTGCCCATCAGGTTTGGGGGTGCGACAGGGAGGCGTCATCTGCAAGGACAGGGGATGGAAGATGTGAGCAGTTCGGAGGAGGAGGAAGAGGATCAGGCGGAAGAGGAGGATGGAAGATGAGGATACGAGGGAGGATGAGGAGACGGAGGAGGACACGAGGGAAGGGGAGGAGGACGACGAGGAGGAGGATGGAAGAGGTGGAGGGAGGAAGGATGAACGTATCGATGATCGAAGGTTGTGACGTCCCGAGGCCTCAAGGCGGAAGCCTATTGAGTACGGAGGGGAAATACCAAGAAGAGAACAAGGAAGAAAATCAGCAATAGGGATGTTTTGCGTCAACGGCTACATACCCCCAATCAAGAGGACCAAGACTTGTTCTCTCCCTCTTGTTCTGCTGCGGTTGCGTTCCTTTACATGGCCAGACTATCCTCTCAGCTCCATTCTCCTTCTTCTGAGGACAAGGGAGAGCGAGCTTGAAATTAATGCCACCAGTGATACAGCGGTGGCAGCCCAAGCAAATACACAACTACTCATCAGAGCAACGTGTACGTCCACATCCATGGTCGCTATCAGCTAAAAACTCTAGGTTCCAACCGAGGGCGCACCGCGCAGGTGCCTGGAGGGGAGCTGGGACCACTCTCCCCTCGCAAACAAACTCCACACTGCCAAGAAGTCGAGAGACAAGTCCAGGACTGTCCGTGACCCTTGGCTCCGGCTGACCGCTCAGGCTTACCACAGTCAACTCCAGGCAGATCGCCACGCGGCCAAGGGGGGAGCACGCGCGGCTGGGCCCCGTACAGCACGCGAGTCTGTCAAAGAATGATCCGCCCTGCTATGTTTGCCGCTGGGCTCATGCCTTCGCGCTGGATCAGCGGAGTTGTTCCATTTACGCCGAGGACCTTCCTCTGGCGATACGTCGGCGGCGGGCCCAGGGGGGAAGTGCGAAGGGGCGGGCCTTCTCGGAAGGCTCGACAGTCCTCCGGCCCCCTCATAAGTTTTGGAAGTTCCCCCGGAAGGCACAAAGAAACCCTCTCAGAAGGCGCGAGGTGTTCTGAAAAAAAGCCCCGCCACCTTCCGACAAGGGCTTCTCCTTCTCTGGCTCTTGCCGCCCGCATCAAAGCAAAAGGAGATGCAAGAGCCTCAGGGGCGGCTCAATTCGGGTCGATCCCCCCAACGCTTTTGGTGCTGTCACCTCCCGACCTTTCAAGGCGCTGTCCATCCATCCATCTCGCGCGCTGCCGAGCATGTTTTCCTCGTCGACAGTCTTGTAAGCGCCAGCTTTGACCACCCGCCGGTGGGTCCGACCACCCTGGCGGGGAACCTTGCGTGGTCGAGCACGCGCAGGCCCCGGAGACGAGGACTTGGGGAGCCCTGCTGACCCTCAGGACAACACTTGCAACGACGACGACGACGACGACGACGACGATGACGACGACGACGACGACGACGACGACGACGACGACGACGACGACGACGGGGGCCGCGGAGGGCCGCCAGGGGCCAGTGCAGTCCGAACGCACGTGGTGTTCGCCATTCGGCGGCGAGCGAGGGGGCGAATTGAGAAGGAGAAGGCCTTCTCAGAAGGCGGAGGGGCTTCTCAGAAGCCCTCGCGCCCTGTCAGATGTGTTCTGTGCCGTCGGGGCAGGCTCAGGAAGCTTCTGGGACAGCAGGCTGAGAAACATCTTCCGGAGACCTGCCGTGCTGCAGCACGTCGTTTGCATAGCGTGCGTTGGGCAACATTTCGGCCATCCCAAGACCGAGCCCCATGGTTCAGACGCGTTCTTTGAATCGACGCAAGGCTTGCTCAAGGCCTGCGTTGACAAGGAGCGAAAACAACCCCAAGTATCCCGTTCTGCGCAAGGGGGCTGGTGGACGAAGTCCACTAGGTAGGGAACGCACCTGCGAGGAAGAGGGTGAGGTCCGAAACATGTTGTGCCTGCGAATCAAGCTCCTCATCAATGACGCCCTGCACCTTCTTTTCCTCCGTTTCCCACACACGGTGGAAAAGGCAGCTTGATCGCAGCCCACACAATGTGGTGGTTGGCCAGGGGCTCTACTCTCTGAAGAGGTGAAGGTATCGAGGAGGAAGAGGAGAAAATGGGAGGGGAGGATTGAACACAGGCCTGGTTGTGCGAGGGAGGGAAGAGGAGACGGACAAGGAGAAGGAGGCGAAGGAGTAAGGATAACGACGGAGGAGGAAGAGGAGGAGGACGAGGGAGTTGGAGGGAAGTGAAGTGGAGCACGGCGAAGCCGAACGGAATGGCAGTATTCAGGAACTGCACTTCCAAATTCAGGTCGAGTCCCTGAGACTCCGCATCACGGACAGCGCGAAGGGGGTCCTGACGGGTGAGGGTACTTCCCCGCGCGGAGATTGGCCAGTTGGTGCCGACCCTTGGGGGACGGTTCGCACCGCTTCACGAGTTGGCGGAGGTCGGTGGTGCAAGTCGTGCCGCCAACCGGGCAGAAGGTCAAGTTATACAGCCGCCAGACATCTAGGATGTGGGAGCGGTGGGGCTCCTTGCCCACCACCCGCTGGGGCCCCCGAAGAGGCTACAGTTGGAGGTTACATCAATGATAACAGCGGGTGGCACACAACTGAACAATCGAACCCTGATTCGAACACAGGCGGCACACACGGCAGTAGTATTCAGCACCAGTTCTATTCCAGAAACGTTCCGAGTTTCTGCAGTCTCGCGCCAGCTTCGGAAGCGGAGTCCCGGCCTCTCGATCGGGGCGCTCCAGGGTGCAGACCTCTCCGCGCCCGACGTCGGACCAGAGCAGCCTCCGCGTCCCGAGTATCCGTGAGACGGGGGGGGGTCTGAACCACGAGTTCAGACCGACTGATTTCTGCTGCCTCGGGGACTAGGGCGTCACTACACCCACTACCGACACACAAGGAAACGCTGGGCCTCAGCTGAGAGGGGGCCCATGCAGGCTCAATCCGACCTGGCCCACGGGCACAGGTCGCTGCCCGGTGGGGAAGCGCGTCGCCCTGGCAAGCGTGACCTCACCGACGTTGCTTTCGAGGTCAGGGGGGGTAGGGTCGAAAGTGGTTTGGGGGCGACTTCGGGTTCTTTTTATTATTCGTTTGTGCAGTATATCCAATGCGCGGAAGACGTTTTTCCATCGCGCGCCGCCCTCTTTTCACAACGGGGGCAACGCGATTTTGCAATGCGCAGATAAAATAAATGCGGTTGCTGCAAAACTGAAAGTGCGTTTTTTTTTATATTTGGTTTACCTGCAATTTAGCCATGCACCTGCATCAATTTAGGGCGCTCCCCGGTTGAAAACGCTGTGAAAACGCAACCCTTTCAAATAACAATAGCACGTATCAGATGACTAAATTAGCCACGTTCCGTTGCCAATGTGCTGCAATGATTCTCATCGGCGCGGTGCCAATGCTAGTGGGCTTTGTTGTAACATGTTTGTTCGGCGTGAGAGTTGGTCGATGGAGTCGATGGAGTGTTCGGCTTTGTTGTAACATTTGTGTTAGCCCTTTACTAGTTCGCCATAAATAATTTCCCGCCCCCTCCAGGAACTCTCGGCTTTCAGAGCTCTCGGCCCCATCTCGAACGGTTGCCCGATGGCCCGTGGCCTTGGCTTGTCGTAGCCAAGGGCGCCCAGATGGGCCCCAACCCGTCGCTACCCCCCGTGGCCCTGGCCTCGTGCGTTGTGCCGTATCGTGCAGCCAGTTTGGCTCGAGGCTCATGTCGGACATGAGTCATGTCCCTGCTGGAGCGCCGATTGTACTTCGCGGCCAGAGCTTGCGGGCCGTGCAATGCTGGCGGGAACCTCTGCTTCCCGCTGGACGGCGTGACCAGGCTCCTGGCCGCGTTGGCGGAGCTGGACGTCGACGCGGCGTGCCCGTCGAGGTCGAGGAGCGCCGGGGGCCGAACCGATCCTGGATCGAACGACCGCTCCCGTCGTTTTTGCATTCCCTACCTAGGCTCTGCCTAGAAGGTTCTTACTCTCTTAGCTTAAAGGGGCCGGGCAGTGCTACACGCCCCGGGCGGTTCCCCCAGTCCCCTGGGAGCGGTTCCCCCCAGTCCCCTGGGAGCTTTAGCTTTAGCTTTAGCTTTAGCTTTAGCTTTAGCTTAGCTTTAGCTTAGCTTTAGCTTAGCTGTAGCTTAGCTTTAGTTTAGCGTTTCGCTTCGCGTTTCGCTTAGCTTTTCGCGTAGCGTTTCGCTTAGCTTTAGCTTAGCTTGAGCTTATCTGTAGCTTAGCTTCAGCGTAGCTTTAGCTTAGCTTTAGCTTACCTTTAGCTTAGCTTTAGCTTAGCTGTAGCTTAGCTGCTGCTCAGCTTTATCTTAGCTGCTGCTCAGCTTTATCTTAGTTGTAGCTTAGCTTTAGCTTAGCTTTAGCTTAGCTTTAGCCTTCAGCATATATTTAGCTTAGCTGTGGCTTAGCTTTAGCTTAGCTTTAGCTTAGCTTTAGCTTAGCGTATAGGGTCGCATTGGGATATTTTCCCATCCTCTCTGCCCTCCCGCCCCCCCCCCGCGGCTCCCCGCGGCCCGCCTGCCCCCGTTCCCCTGCTTGACGCCGTGGCAGGACACGCGCGCGCACGCGCGCGCGCCCTTCCCCCCTCCCCTGCCTTCCCTCCTCCTTCCCCCTTCCCTCCCCCCCATCCCTCTTCCCTCTCCCCCCCCCCTTTCCCATCGCCCTTCTCCCTTCCCCATCTCTCCTCCCCTCCCCCATTGCACAGAACGCCGACGCATCCCTCCCCCTTCAGGGGCTACCTCCACTTTCTCAGGGGTGGGGGGTCTCCGAATGCAACTTCGCCTGCCCCCCCATGCCCCGCGCCGCGCCGCGCCCGCGCCGCCCGACCCCCCAGGCTGCGGCGCTGGGAGATCGCCGGCGGCGTCGCCGACGCGGGCGTCGTGGCCGACGCCTTGGCGCGGCCAGGCGCGCAGAGAATCCAGGAGGCGTGGGCGCAGGCCGCCTCCGCCCCCGCATCCTTCCCAGGGGGGGGGGGGGATGGGGAGCAGGAGCCCGGGGAGGAGGAATAGGAGGAGGAGGAGGATGAGGAGGAGGAGGAGGCGGAGGAGGAGGAGGAGGAGGGGAATGGGAGAGGAAGAGTAGGAAGGAGTGAAGGAGGAGCGAAGGGCCATGATAATGAAGAAGGAAATGAGGGCTGAGGTAGGAATGAGAGAATGTGAGAGGTTTAGTTGGTATAGGGTTGGTGGTTTTTGGTGCGGTTCAGAGGGGGGGGGGGCGAGGACGCCGACGAGGAGGAGGAGGAGGACGAGGTGGAGGAGGCGGAGGAGGAGGAGGAGGGATGAGGATGAGGAGGATGAGTGGATGAGGGGGGGGAGGCGGCGGATGAGGATGAGGGGGGGGGAGGAGGCGGGGGGCAGGGTGAGGCGCACCGAGGCAAGGGAAAAGGCGCGGGAGGTAGGAGGAGGAGGAAAGGCCAGGTAGGGGGAAGTATGGGAGATGCAGGAGGAGAGGCCTCCACTCCTCCTCTCCTCCTCTGCCCCCTCCTCCTCCTCGTCCACGGTCCCCCTCCTGCTCCTGCTCCTGATCCTGCTGCCGCTCCTCCTCCTCCTCCTCCTCCTCCTCCGTCAGGCCGAGGCGTGGCTGCGACGGGATCTTGGTATCCCCGCGGCGGCGGAGCCGCGGGCGCCGCCGACGCTGGCGGCCGCGCAAGCGGCCGCGGGCTTTGGGGCGAGGGCCCCGAGGGCGGCGGTCGCGGCGGCAGCGCCAGCTGCAGGGGCGCCGACAACGCTGCCGGAGGCGTTGCAGCGCATCGCCGAGCTCCAGAGGGACGTCGCGGTCTGGCGCGACGCAGCGGCCCGCCACAGGGCGGAGAAACGGCTCGCTGTCAGGCGAGGGCGCAGGCACGCGGCTAGAAACATCGCTGCCATTGAGGCGCAATCGCTAGAGCTTCGGGAGTTCAAGGCCGCGCAGTTGCGCACGGGCAGGTACTTCAGCGACATGGGCGGCTTCATGTTGAGCACCAAGAGGCTACTCTCGAATGCTCCAGCGTCCACCCTTGGTCTGGCTCTTGGTCACGACGTTCATCACAACACGGTCGGCCGCTGGGAAATCAGACGTCGAGCTGCCCGGATCGCTTCCATGAGGTCCTACATCAGGGAAAGTTACGCTCACATGTTCGAGGCCTTGACTTTCCGTTCGACAATTGCCTCGTCGTCTGATGATTTCGACGTCGGCTGGACAGTTGCCCTGCACAGCACGCGGGGCGACGCTACGAATGCGAATGTGTGGCAGCGGCAGAAAATCCACGTCACCGAGCTCGAGTCGACGTTCGTGTTGGAGCCGATTCTCCCCGACAGCGACTACGGTGCCATCCGAGCTGCCGCGACCACGCGGAAAATGTTGGGCGACCTCCAGGCGCCACTCCTTCATCCTCCGACCTCCTACTCCTCGTCCTCGTCTTCCTCGTCCTACTCCTCGTCGTCGTCCTCGTCCTCGTCCTCGTCCACGCCCTCCTCCTCGTCGTCCTCCTCCTCCTCCTGCTCTTCCTCCTTTCGCCTTTTCCCCCCCCCCCACTCGGTGGTGGCTTTCGGGGGCGGCGCTGGCATGCTCAGCATGGTGCGCAAGCAGTTGGCCTCTGTCGGGATGGACACTCGGACCACGTCCCAGCTCGATCTAGTGTCATGGGCCCCGCCGCTTGCGGCCGTCGCAGACGCTGCAGACGCTGCGCCAGCTGGGCCAGCGCCGGCGCCAGCAGCTGCCGCGCTGCCCCTCGCCGACGGCGACCCCCGCAGCGCGGGTGATCGCGCCCGCTGCCGCATTTTGCAGCTGTGGACGGCGTGCACCGACGCTGGCGGCGACGAGGTCAAGGCCGCGCCGCTACGATGCGAGGAGGGGGCAAAGGAGGAGGGAGGAGGAGGAGGAGGAGCAGGAGCAGGAGCAGGAGAAGGAGGAGTAAGGACTAAGGAGGAGGAGGGTCAGGAGGAGGAGGGAGGGGGGTGGAAGAGGAGGAGGAGCAGGAGGAGGAGGAGCAGGAGGGGGAGGAGGCTCAGGAGAACGAGGAGGAGGGGGAGGAGTAGGAGGGAGGAGGGAGGAGGGGGAGAAGGAAGAGAAGGAGGAGGAGGAGCAGGAGCAGACATAGTTTGAGGTTGAGGGGGTGAGGAGACAGGGGGGCACTAACCTTGGGGCAAGGCAGCAGGGGGAAGGGTTCGGAGGAGGAGGGTAGTTGGAGGAGGGAGCAGGAGAAGGAGTAATTTTGTTTAGCTCTTTGTAATACGCCCCAGGCGAGGGGCCTCTTCCACCAGAAGATTGCGTCTCAGCCAAGCACTTTGCTGTTTGAGTGCAACTGCATCGCGCACCAGTACAGTCTCATCGCGAGGTCTTTGCTTTTATACATGGGCACGTTCCTCAGAGACATGGGTTGTGATTATTATTATTGGTCCACGATTGCCAAGCTCATGCACGCGTGGCGCGCCAATGCAGTGCGCATTTTCAAAATCTGGAACCAACTCTACCCTGATGGTTCGGCCATGCACGCCACGTCCAAGGTGCCACCTCGACCAATTACGGGCCGCTGGGGCTCGGTTAGGGACTGCGAGAATCACATTTTGAGGTGCGACCCGGACCGCTTGACGACTGTCTTGCACTCCGCTCTTGGCGGAGATCCTCGAGCTGAGATCGACCACGCGAAGATGACGGGCCTCGCAGAGCTCGGCGTTGCCGAGCAGGTTGCCTACAGCGCGCAGATGGGCAAGTGGACGAAGGACGCTCTGAACGCGTTGCGGGACCCGTTCTTCTGGCTAGCGATTCGCGTGTCGCAGCGGCTCCGCGAGCCCGTGGACGCGCTGTTGCACTTCGCCCAGAAAGTGAGGGACAAGGGTGACCTGAACACCGTTGCCCGACTTGTTTTCGGGTCCGCTCGCAAGATGTGCTCTGGCATTCAGGATCTGCTGCGAACTTCTGCTTGGGATTCTGTACTCGAGAAGTCCAAGGTCAGCCCCGATGTTGCGGAACGCGTTCTAAAAAGTGCGAAGAGAGGCGTTGTCAAAATCCTCGGCGCTTTCAGCTACCGGATCTGCAGGCCCGCCAACGATTACCCGCAGAAGTTGCTCAATCTTGCGTTCTCACCGCCCAGAGAGAAGTGCGAGACGCGGAGATTGCTTGCCGAAGAGCTCCTGGCAACGGAGCCGGCTGCGCTGCACGCGACTGCTGCTGCCATTGCGCGGCTGTTCAAACTCGAGCTGGAGGACCGGGGGAAGGAGTGAGGAGGAGGGGGAGGGTGGGGGGAGGAATGAAAGGGGATGGGGGGTGGGAAAAAAAAAAAAAAAAAGAAAAGGGGGGGGCGGAGGAGGAGGAGGAGGGGGGGGCAGTAGGGGCCCTAGGGGGGGGAAAGGAGGTGCGCAAAATAAAATAAAAAGGGAGGAAAGAGGAGGGGTAGGAAGAGGGAAGGTAGGCCGGAGAGGGGTCCGGCGAGGGAAGGGATGGGGAGGAGGAGGATGAGGAGGAGCAGGAGGAGGAGGAGGGGCGGGGGCGGAAGGAGGAGAAGGCGGATGAGCGGTGGAGAGACGAAGATATAAGGTGCGAGAAGCAATGATGAAAGCGGGAGTGCGGGGCCAGCCGCCCCCGGCCCGCCCCCTTCCCTCTTCCCAACCTCCCAACCGCCCCAACCTCCAGCCCCCCCCCTCCCCCCCCCCGTTCCTTGTCCTTTGTTTTGCGCCGCTGCAGGAGACGAAGCGCTCGGGCACGCTGGCCATGCACTTGCACGCGCCCATGCGGCTCCTGTGCGAGATGTGGCGTGGAGATACCCGAGAGATCGAAGGCATCAACAATATTCTCCAAGTCGCTTGCCAAAGAGGGCCTCGCATCACATTGGCGACGTTGGATGCGCGCGTTGCCCTCAGGAAAGAATTCGGCATGGGTTCCAGGGCTGCGCGAGGTATCAAGTGGGCGCAGATCCAGGCTTCGGTGCAGCAGGTGCTCGAAGATTCCGTTCAGCACGCCAGCGGCATCAAGGGCGTCTTGGCAGAGAAGAGCAGATGGGCTGCGCCGCCGCTGGACTTAGACGACGCCGTGATCGATACTTCCCTTTGCATTCATGGAGTTGTTCCAGGCCCCATCAAGAAATGGACTGCGTCTTACCATATGACTTGGTATTGGGCGGCAAAGGAGATGCTGGGCGATGACATCACTCGATCAATGTTGATATTTGGTGGTGAAGGTGACGACGGCGACTCCCTGACTGGGTGGCTGTGCGCAGCAACGCATGGATATTTCGGCATGTTCGTCAAGTGCACCATTACCCCTGACCCAGCGCATCGGCGTGCTGCTATCGACTTCGTTCTGCCGTTGGAGTGGAAACTATCAAAGGACTTGTTCAGCCGCCACTATGACGAGTGCTACCGCGACCACGCGGCCAAGATAGATGTTATCCTAACGTGCGGGGACTTTGTTCCCGTGGGGGACAGCGTAGCTTCGACTTTACTGGACACGTGGCAGGACCTTGCCCCTCTGACGCATGATGTA